AACTAATTTGCATTTTTGTGGGATATGTAAAGAAGAATCAAATTCATAATAACTGGTTAGTTAACATAAGAACCTTACAAACGTGCGAGTAGCTAAGCTAATTTACTAAATACTAAATGTTGTCCTTTAGAAGTTAATAAATCACAAGTGTTAATTTGGTACAATAGTATATTTTGTATTTTCTGCTTGTTATTCTGATGCTTAATTTTCAAATCGGTAGTTTATAAACATTTTCATGCAGAAGATTATAAATTCAGTCTTGAAAATAGGTAAGATATTAATGTTAGTTTTTTTAAGGCTCATATTGTACTATTAACTTATTGTGTTAACAAATTTTTGCCAATTTTAAAATTGATGTACGCTGTGGCCATGAAAGTCCTTGGCCAACCAACTTTTTGCAACCGTTGGTTATAGACATAAATTTTCAATTAAAAAAAAGGTTTTATATGACAGATTCATGTTTGGTCATTTTTAAATTTAGTGATATGAATTTTGTAGATAATATGAAATCTAGCCTTTTGTACTTGGCTCCGCATTCCCTATGTTCATATTATGAAACGTTTGTACTTGTTATAAAAAATAAACTGAAAAAGTATATTGTCCGTGCTGCAAAAATTGACCCGAGATAATTATTTTCCAATGATGTCTGCCGTGAAATGTTTCATTTAGAGGTAGGTTAATAAGTAATACAATATTTTGCATCTGATTTTTTCCTTAAAAGCCGTTCGATGATACAGTTTTACCATGTGTCAGTGTCTTTATAAGTTTATTGTATTGGGTATGCCAAAGAGTTTTTACGCATATAATCTAAGTTTTCAATTTATAAAGCGCTATTAACCTTGTAAAGTTTTATTACTTGAGAATCATAAGCCGAGTAAAAAGATGTTCTACATCTTGACACTCTAGAATAAAATAGTCATCATCATCAATGCAGTATAGTTCGACCGTCTATTGCGAAGCCTCTGTTGGCATTTCGCCAAAACACATAGAATCCTCCAAAAGGAGCGTCAGTTAAGCGCTGCGGAATGAGAGGTCACATGAAAGTTTTCTTCCTTGGTAAAAGGGAATCATATGACCGATTTCCTCTGCAAAAATCATCAAAATCAAAATAACCCGACTTCTCACAAAGAAATAAATAAACTTAATCCAAAGAAAGCATCTGGATATGACAATATCACTAATAAGGCCTTGTAATACGTCCCAAGAAAAGGCATCGTCCTTATTACAAATATTTTTAACGCATGTTTAAGACTTAATACATTCCCAAAAAATTGGAAGCACTCCATTCTGTTATTAAAAAGCTGCAAATTTCGCAAGTAACTTTAGCCCGATCAGTCTTCTGCCTGCGATTGCCAAACTTTTCGAAAGTCGAAACTAAGTTTCGACTCGCCATTTTTATTAATGAAAATAACATCATCAAAGACCATTTATTCGGATTTCGCCAGAGATTTTCAACGACTCAGCAGATCGCCCGAATCGTGGAATCCATGGGTGAAAATTTTAACAAAAAGGAAGTAGTTGCTGCTATTTTTATGGGCGTAGAGAAAGCCTTCGATAGAGTTTGGCATCGCGGTCTTATCATCAAGCTGCTGAACTATGGATAATTCCACTTGCCATCATCCATCTAATCGCTTATTTTTAAAGAACAGAATTTTTCAATTTAAGATTCAAGATATTCCACAAGAAAAATTCACGCGGGTTTACCACAGAAGTCTAATTTCTCCGCTTGTCTATAAATTTGTATGTTAATGATCTTCCTAATATTGAAAATATTCTCACCGCGTGCTATGCCGACGGCACAGCACTTTCATGTCACTCATTTAATCCATATCATGCAAGAAATAAACTGCAGAATGCCATTGATTACATTTCACCCTGGTTTAAAGGATGAAAAATAAAAATTAATCCCGAAAAATCAAAAGTGATTTACTTTAAAAAAGGAAATATCCTTCAAGCCTTAGAAGAAATTACGCTAAACGGACAAGTCGTATCTCGTGACCACCAAGCAAAATATTTAGGTGTTTATCTCGACCAGATGTTAACTTTCAAATTTCATGTTGTTAACTATATCAGAGACAAAGCATAACGTGCCTGAATGAACATTTACCCTTTGTGCAAATGTTTCAAGTTAAATATCAAGACTCTATCTACAGACAATCCGACCCATAATTCTATATGCCGCCCCGGCGTGGCCAGCTACTGCACATTCAAACAGAGCAAAGCTTCCAAGTTTTTAGAGTAAAACTCTCAGATTCCTATCATACTCTTCGTATTTAGTTAGGAACACTCACATTCATAATTCTCTAAAGATTTTACCATTAGAAAGTGCACAGGATTTTTCCACTTTTATGTAATTTAACGAACTTTTGCAGGTCCTTAGGGAAATGATAAACATGTAGTGGTAAAGGCCTTCGAGTCGAACACCTCTTAACGATATCTCCGGTAAAAGGGAATTTATGTGATCGAGGGAGGAAAAATCCTTATGTCATTGGGTGATGATATTGCCCGATGTATCATCAATTGTCTTTCGTACCTTTAGTTTTTTTTTTTTTTTTTTTTTTTTTTTTACATACATACAAAAATATGAATAAATTATAAAAAATTAAAAAAGAAGCTCTTGATTGCGTAACGAGAAAAAAATGGAAAAAGTACTGCACTCATATAGAAATAGTAGAAAAAGATGGTTTGATTGAAGATTTATGCCAATCTTTGATTATTTCCTTTGGTGAAGAGGAAGAGAACTTGAATATGTATAATGACTGAGATACAGAATAATAAGTACTGAGGTAAGAAATTTCGTTTTTTAGCTCCCCAGTACATGTAATACTGCATATAGCTTTCAGCGCAAAAATCGAAGCGATGTAATATTTATTTATTATAATTAATATAATTACACAATAAATATAATAATTATTTATCACTGTATAATCATAATTAATTAATACACAGATCATATTTTATTCTCGAGTGTCAAGATGTAGAAACATCTTTTTACTCGACTTCTGATAAAGATCGAGTAGGGTGGGAGGCGGAAAAAACGGGGGTGGCAAGTCCAGTGTCGTTATAAGATGTAGCAACCGGGGTAGTAAATACCGCAGAGTCAGTTTAGCGTGAATGAAGTCAATTAATGGTTGTAATTCTTATGTGGGTAGGATGTCACATTGGGTAACCGATGTTTTACTCCTGCGACGCGGGGAGTGTCTGAGAGTGCTAATAAGACTTATTACTGTGGTTTGTACTCAATGAAAGAAGTTGATCGCTAATCGTTTAATATAGTCTTGAATAAGGTTCGATTCGAACGTCTCTGTAAAATATAGGTGTTTGGAATATACCAAGAAGCATTGATAATTTCTCGTAGAAATTTTATTTTGCAGAATTTGTAATTGTTTAATATTGGTTTTAGCTGCATGTCCCCAGATCGGTGCTGTCTAAAGGAGTGCTGGACGAAGTATGGAGCGATATAGAATTAATTTGTTTGTAGTAGATAAGTTGCTTTTTCTACCAAGAAGAGGTCGCATAGTAGCTGCCGTGATTTAAAATTTTTGTACTACGGGCCGGAAGTGGGTTCTGAAGGTAAGTTTTTGGTCAAGGGTGACTCCAAGGTATTTGGTTGGTATATTCCGGTACTATATTCCTCGATATCGCGAAAGCTTTTGACAGGGTATGGCATAGAGGCCTTATTTACAAACTAATCACTCTCAATTTTTCAGATCATTTTATTCGCTTAATAGTCTCTTTTCACAGCAACAGAACATTCAGAATCAAAATCGGTACTGCTTACTCTGCCACCAGAGTAATCAATGCTGGTGTCCCACAGGGGTCAGCACTTTCGCCGTACCTTTTTAATATTTATACACAAGACATCCCTAAAGACCCTTCTGTTCATCTTGCACTCTTTGCCGATGACACCGCCATACTTACTAAAGCCTGCACAGTTAATCGCCGTAAGAAAAACCAACTCCAAAGCTATTTCATAAAACTGGAAAAATGGCTTACCCTTTGGAGGATTAAAATTAACACTGATAAAAACTAAGGCAATAATTTTCCGTAAAGGAAACATGAAATACTATCCTCCACCCCCTGAAATATTTGACGAAAAAATAGACTGGATTGATGAAATCAAATACCTTGGAGTCACCCTTGACCAAAAACTTACCTTCAGAACCCATTTCCGGTCCGTAGTACAAAAATTTAAAATTACAGCTACTATGCGACCTCTTCTTGGTAAAAAAAGCAACTTATCTATACAAACAAATTAATTCTATATCGCTCCATACTGCGCCCAGCTCTCCTTTATGCAGCACCGATCTGGGGACATGCAGCTAAAACCAATATTAAACAATTACAAATTCTACGAGAAATTATCAATGCTTTTTGGTATATTCCCAACATCTATATTCACAGAGACGTTCGAATCGAACTTATTCAAGAGTATATTAAACGATTAGCGGTCAACTTCTTTTATTCAGTACAAACCCACAGTAATAGCTTTATTAGCACTCTCAGACACTCCCCGCGTCCCAGAGAAAAACACCGTTACCCATGTGACATCCTTCCCACATAAGAATCACAACCTTAATTGACTCATTCACGTTAAACTGACTCTGCGGTTTTACCACCCGCAGCTACATCTTATAACGACACAGAACTTGACACCCCCCTTTTTTGCCGCCGCTAGTGCGGACCTCACCCTCTTTCATCCGCCTCGCACACTCCTTTCACTCTTCTTTTTCTCCCCCCACCCGATCTTTATCAGAAGCCGAGTAAAAAGATGTTTCTACATCTTAACACTCGAGAATAAAATATGATCTGTGTGTGAGTGATTTCTTGATCTTTATACTCCGTGGGTTCAAATGATGGATCCAACAACTCAATGCGCATGCGTGGTTAACGTTGTTACCAATCAAGGTCCGTAGAAAGACGGCGCGAATAGCACCGGCCCAAATTCCTTCTAGCCCATCGGGGCACAAAGACTTAGCGAGTGCAAAACTAGACATCTGTCCACTTTGTCTGTCTGTCCGCAACGCAGAATGTTGCCTTTTATATTAGGAAAGCATGAGTCTTATTGAGATAGTTGCTATTATATTTTGCTGAATTATTTCAGACGCATTAAATTTTCTAATATTATCATGTCGAAATCACTAAAGCATTTGGTTGTTGATTCTGGTGCTTTCATCAAAAACGCACCCGTTCATGTAAGTTTTTTTTATTTCGTTTATAGGCATTGCTTAATAAATTTGTTACATACTGTGTAATATTTCAAGGCTCAGAATATTTCTACGTAATGTTAATAATTTTCAATAAATGTGTTATTTGTTCACCTGTTTGTTATCTCTTATTTATTCCTTATAATTTTTGTGGTTGTTCATTAGCCGTTTGTCATGGTTAGACATGTTAAAGATATTTTTAATTAATACTATCCAAATACATCTAACATGACTTTGGTCGCTGGTTTTACAGTACCCCAAATATCGAAATATTATTTTAAAAATAAGCTTTTAACCGTAAACTAGTGGAGGAAAGTGTAAAATTGCCAACTTGGCGCGCTCTCGCAACTTGTTTCCTGGATTTGCAACCCCTCCAGAAGATACTACGCAAGGCGCGACGTTTACAATGGCGAACAGGTAAAATAAATACAAAATAAAAGTTGAAGCAAAATTTTGAAAGGGTAAAGTGCAGAATCGCCCACTCTTTTGAGAGTTTTTAAAAACTGCATATACTCGGTATCCATGTACACATCGTCCTATTTTCACTTAAAAAAAAACATCGCAGAATTGCACAAAAATGGCATTACACACTCCCTTAATCCATGTACACAGTGACCTATTTTCACCTAAAAAGTCAAAGAAAATTGACAAAAATCCAATTCTTCTTACTCTTGTAAAAAGCACCAAACAAATAAGTGGGCGATTCTGCACTTTAGCCTTTTGAAAACTGAAAATCCTTTAAAGAAAGAAACATAGTAAGCTTAAAAAACTTAAAATCATTACAAAATCCTGAAGAATTAAAATTCATTCATCTATATATATATATATAAAAAAAAAAAAAAATGGGGAAAGTGCAGAATCACCCACTGCTTGATGCCTTTTTAAGAATTTTACAAACTCGGTATCTATGTACACATTGACCTACTTTCACTTAAAAAAAAATCCCAGAATTGCACAAAAATGGCATTGTGCACTCCTTTGACTTTATCCATGTACACATTGACCTATTTTCATTAAAAAAAAACACCCCAGAATTGTACAAAATGGCATTGTGCACTCTCTTGACTTTATCCATGTACACATCGACTTATTTACATTTAAAAAGTCAAAGAAAATTGGCAAAAATCCAATTCTTCAGGTAGAGTAGACTTTAAGGTACCCCTTGTATTATGGCGAAGTTGTTGTTTGATTTATCGCCAAGGTGTTGTTTCATTTATGGTAGCCTGAGTAGTTGAATGTTATGGAAACCCTATTGTGATATAATCGGGTGCATGATTCTGGGAAATTTTGAATCATGGGATGTTTTGTAAGCGTTTTTGTGGTGTATGTTGGTTTGATTCTTTAGAAGGTAAAATGGCCGAATGTAGTAAGATTAATTTGAAGTTTCTGTACGATTTAGAGCGAAAGGAGAAAAGAGCTTTAATTGACTGGTGTGTAAATAAAGGTTTACTTAGTAGAAAATCATGGTAAGTGAATATTTGCTTTTGGTAGTGCTTAAATGTATAACATGCTTTTCCTTTTTTATGTTATTTTATTGTTTGGTTTAAAATGTATTTTATTGAGATTATGTATTTTTTGTTTGCCTATATTGTAGAATTTGGTGCTCCTTTGACTTTTTAAGTAAAAATATATCGTTGTGTACACACAAAGTAAAGGGAGTGCGCAATGCAAGTTTGTGCAATTCTGGGATTTTTTTTTAAGTGAAAATAGGTCGATATGTACATGGATAAAGTTAAAAGAGTGCGCAATGCCATTTTTGTGCAATTCAGGAATTTTTTTTAAGTGAGAATAGGTCGACATGTACATGGATAAAGTCAAAGGAGTGCACAATGCCAATTTTGTGCAATTCGGGGATTTTTTTATGTGAAAATAAGTCGATGTGTACATGGATACTGAGTTTGTGCATTTTATTTTGTGTAGCGGCTCAAGCCGCTTCTCAAGCTAAAATAATGAGACAAAGAATTGCACAAAATCGGTATCCATGTACCGCCAAGTTTCGTCAAGGGGTACCCTAAACTATACTTTTACCCAATTCTTACTTTTGTAAAAAGCGCCAAACAAATAAGTGGGAAATTTTTAAAACTGGAAATCCTTTAAAAAAAAACCTGATAACTTTAAAAACTAAAATCGTTTTAAAAACGTAGTAAGTTTAAAGAACATAAAATCCATAAAAAAAACCCTAAAAAATTAATACTTTTACTTCCAAAAAAATTTAAAATATGAAAATCCAGTACTTACAAAAAAACATAATTTTAAAAACTAAGAATCGTTTCAAAACCATAGTAACTTTCAAACACTTAAAATCATTACAAAACACTGAAAATTTAAAATACTTTCAGTTACCTGAAAAGGGGTAATCCACTCCGCTCAGCCGATGAACGAAAAGTAACGAATTCTCAAAATGTTCTAAAATTATTGTTTAAAATAACTGCATCTCTACTATCTATTATTGTCTACACCAATCAGAAATTTTAAATTTTAAAATACATAATGAGCACGTGCGAAAATGCTCCGAATTTCACGCTCAAAAGAAATTCTCAATTCAAAATACGTACTATGCATGCACGAAAATGCTTTGAAATTTGCCCTCCAGAACGACAAATTGACTTGGATACCACATTTGGCGCACTTATCAATCTCGTAAAAAGTGTCAAACACAACGCACCAAATAAGTGGGTGATTCTGCACTTTAGCCAACTAATGTTTCGTTATAATGAAGAAATTAAATAATTATGCATAATTCACTTCCAATGAATTTGGTTAGCTCTAAATAACAATTTTTGAGCAAACGTGTGCCTTCTATTTGTAGTCATATTCTGAAGAACTGATTAGAAGCCAGTTGGGTAAGACTGCTGACTGGGCTCAGGGGCGTAGTATTTTTATTTTTAAATACGAGCTAATATCCTTTAGTCCTCTATGAAATCATCTTATCCTTTATGCCGGTAGCCATAGTTTAATATGCGTTAATCTAAAAAATCTATATACTTGTGCTTTACTGCATGTTTTTAACCTAGACTGTGTATTTTGTAAATGTGTGCATCCAGCCAGATCTGGTCGAAAGCCTTGGTGATATCACTTGTGACTTTTCTATTTTTCAGACCTTCAGGGATGATTTCCATTAACTGGTATAGTTGATTTGAAGTGGGGAGATTCTTTCTGAAGCCACTTTCCTGATCTTGTTCAAATCTAGTAGGAAACTAATGGGTGTATATGACTCAGAAGCCATTATTGACTTGCTTGACTCAAGAATGAGTCTAGCAGTTTTCCATTCATTCGGAAAATATTGCCATTCATTGTGGTATTAATAATTTTAGTTAACAGGAAGATGATCTGGCAAGAATCAGACTTGTCATTCCCTGATTGTATTGGTGGTGTAGTATAGTGCAGTGGTCTTGTGCAGAAATTTCCTGCGGACCACATGTGCGAACTGAAAATAGTTAGTAAACTAGAATTTTTTTAAACACAATTTAGAAACGTTTATTAACAAAAGAAATAAAAAAATAGTACTATTCCGTTTTGAGGGCCTTAAAAAAATTGCAGCGAAATTGTATGCACAAAAGCGCCAAATCTAGCAAACGTGCCCATTTAACAGCGTGCCAAATCTAGCGCACGCGCTGATTTCAGATTGCGTAAGTTTATATAGATCTATATTTCTTAAGCTGCCATTGAGATACTAGTTTAATTCTTAAATCCTTTTTTGATATCCTATGGATTTAACAGTTTGGAAATTGCCCATGACGAAAAAGTCTGCAATAGAATTTTGTTTAACGTGCAGAATCACCCACTGCTTGATGTGTTTTTAAGAATTGCACATACTCTGAATTCATGTACACATCGACTTTTTTTCACTTAGAAAAAAGTCCCAGAATTGCACAAAAATGGCACTGTGCACACCCTTGACTTTGTCTATGTACACATCGACCTATTGTCACTTAAAAAGTAAAAGTAAAATGACAAAAATCCAATTGTTTTTACCCTTGTAAATTGCGGCAAACAAATAAGTGGGTTATTGTGCACTTTCCAAAGAAAAGGCATCATTCATTATAGAAAATTATGTTTGAACAACCAACGAGATGACATTATGCTTTAGCGATAACTCAGTAGCGAAATAGTGATGCAGGCATCCATTCAGTTATGTTCAGCAATTTTTATATACTAAATCATAATAATGATCTGAATAGTTATTTACTCTTATGCTTCCATTCAGTCATGTTTAGCCTTTTATTTATAAATGATAATAATAAAAAGTATTATATGAAATTAACCTTTCGTCTAAATTAAAACATCAATCTTAAATAGTTATTTACTATTATACTTCTTTTCTTATGTAAGGGTTGCTGCAATTATTTTTGGCAACACTGGCATCAACAATAGTTTGGCGATTTTTTACGGCCCTCAAAACCGAATAGTACCAAAAAATTTTATATTTCACTTATTAAGTATTTTTCAAGACATGCATATAGTAGGGAAGGAAAAAAATTCAAACTTGTATTTATTTTTGATTTCTGAAGGTTTGGTATCTGTAGCATATATTTGTTTATTATTTTTAATTCGGGAATGCTGAGATAACCGGCACTTGGCTAGGTTACTGAAATCGCGTTCGCCAGCTTGGGAGAGGAGATAGGCGCCAAACAGTAGGAATAATGTTTAGGTTGCTATTCCAGATGTTAACTAAGATAGGGAAAAGGAAAGGAATATTTTCTTTCTATATAGTTGATACTTCGTGTTGGGTGTCATGACTTTGCAGATAAATCTTTGTGCTGATGTATTGACTTTGTCAGTAGACATTTTGAATTCGCTGTTTAATTATTTTCTAAATAAATTAATTACACTTGTAATTAGAATAAGATAATCTTATTTTTATACAAGAAAATTACAAAATATGCTCCTTTTCCGTACTTATGCTCGCATTATCCCATGTGTATTTGCATATAATTAATTTCTAAATAAAATAATTATACTTCCAATCAGAATAAAATGATTTCATT